TAGAGCACAGATAGCCCATTGTGTAGCTTTGTGCTTAATTACAAACAAATAAACAATCTTCGAGTTGTCTACCGATAAATAAATCTTCGAAAATACAAGTAAAGATTAATAATTCACGAGTTAAAGCCAATAGCGAAACACAGAGAACTGTTACACACTGTTTGGTCAAATGGACAATTCCTCACTCTAACAGCACATATTGAGTACTTCTGTATCCGCTGTGTGGCGCTCTTTGCGAAACGTTTTCCTCATGGAGGAAAATATCTTGTTTTCAAAATGCTTCCTAAAAGAGAATCGTTTTTATAAAAATGATTTTTATTTTTACTACACCTTAACTTATATGTACAATGTTGAACGTCGGAAAAATAATTCTTTAGTATATGATCTAGTCGTAGCAAAGTAACTCATAAAATTAGCATTTTTCAATAAGTGAATATTTTAAAGTAAGAATTTCCCCAACAAAATATTTCGATCCCAGTAAATGTTTCAGAATGTTCTAGATTTTTAGATGCTTGAATTTGTGTTTTTCAGCGTCTTTGCAACATTTTTCAGCTCATGAAAGTGTGTCAATAACCCCAAGATGTAGGCGTAGATGTCCGTAATTAAGAATTGATGGCCGGGTTGGGGTGGGGGGAAGAGCAACCACTCGGCAGCATTCGTCAAGCACATGATCACTGTCAACCGAATAGTGGGATTTACTGACACATTATAACATCCTCACAGCTGAAAGTGTGGAATGTCTTTATTGAGATATTGTGGTTCGAACCTTGGACCCTCCGATCAGCGGCCCGACATGCCAATCATTACGTCATGCGCAGTCCTAGTTATGTTCACTAACGCTTCTTAGAAAAATGCACAACAAAATTGTAAGTAATCGGGTATGAAATCAAACCAATACAGTATGTAGAATATCACACGTCTGAAATTCCAAACATAACTTGTTTGTAACAAAATACACTTTTAATATTTAACAATTACCAATATTTAATAAAATTAATAAATGAAAATAATCGTTCGAAAATGTAAGGTTTGTTTTGAATTTCGCGCAAAGCTTCACGAGCGAGGGATATCGACGCTAGCCGTTCCTAATTTAGCAGTGCAAGACTAGAGGGAAGGCTACCGCCAACTCTTGGGCTACTCTTTTTATCAACGAATAGTGGGATTGACCGTCACTTTATAACGCCCCCACGGCTGAAAGGGCGAGCATTTTTGGTGTGACAGGGATTCGAACCCGCGACCCACAGATTGCGAGTCGAGCACCCTAACCACCTGGCCATGACGAGCCGTGAAAAATGTAAAGAAACAGGACAATGAAAGAAATAAACTGTTCTTCAAACTTTATTTGTCTTCAAGATTAGCATAAATTATTGAATTAAGTAAATGACATGAAATAAACAAAGTATCTTAAAGTACCCGTAAGTGATAAAAGGTAATTATAAAAACATGTATTACTTATGAAAGCCGAAACTCATCTAAAACTCCTAACACCCCCACAGCACTTTTTTCTCTAAAGTCGGATATTGTTTAGTTACGTGTAACATTTATATATTTGGAACTTTAATTGCTACTGTGTTACTAAGTCGACTGTGCCACTGTCCAATAGTCGTGAAATGCACGTGTTGTGTTATTCTAAAGTGCATTAATTACCTTACAGGTAGGAATAGTAGGGGAAATGGGTGAAAATTTAACGCAGAATTAAATCTAAATTTCAGGCTTGACCGAGCTGAAGAAAGATAATGAACACAAGATTTACAGCAAAATTAAAAATATTTTTTATTTTATCTGTATAAGACATGGGACAAACAAATACTAGCAAGTTCAAAACATACCCATGACATTTGTAACTTTCTGTAAACGTAAAAAAGAAATACAAATACAGGAGACTTTTTGGATCAGATTGAGAGAGTTGACCATTACCAAAACAGCAGTGTCATCTTTCCCAATATTCGTTTATTACTATGTCACTGAAGGTAATTCCACAGGTAGGCATAAGGCTTAAAAGTTCTCGAGACCTCCTTGAATCCCAACACAACATAATACTCAACCACACAGCTTTGTAGTAACACCTTTCACGAGAGATATTCAGTAGCATCATAAGAAAATGACAATGTGTAACTAGAACACTAGCAAGTTAGCCACATACCATAATCAAGTTCATTATTGTAAAAACAGTATGCGTGGTTACACAAGTGTTTTATGTGAATTTTTTTGAGAATGTGTGGTGAATGTAAAACGTTGACTTATCTAAAAAGGAAAGGAAAAGAAACGCCTTAGGCTTATCCTTAAACGTACATCTTTCGCTTAAATCTAATCATATATATACACAACAAATATTACAATAGAACTAAAATTAAACTTAAACAGTTAGTTTTCCATTATCAGTCCTAGTTGTTAACATTAAGTCATAACGAATGATATCTGGAGTCATAGCTGATGTCAAACTAACCAACTGTTATTGAAAATCAGTTAAGGGTTAGGAGTTGA